ATAGGTTATCCGTTCCTCGAATAGAGTCGAACACCAGGGAGAATTATTGATTCCGTACATCAATTTGTCTTTGTTCGTTTACCGTGTCTTCCAGTTTAATTTAAACCCCGTCGATATTCCGTTTTACCCCTTTTTACGTCACGCGGAAAGCTTCTCGAAGCCTGGGAATAATTTCGTGCTTACTGGGACGAACGCAATCGCGATCACGGGATTTGCCCATCGGTTTAAGCCAGTGTATGAAATTAGGATCCTACGGATGATTGAGCTTCGTTTGAAATCCTTCGCAAAATTAAAGCAACGGCCTCTGTTTAAGGCAAGCAAAACATGTACTTTAACAAACTATTTTTATAGTAGCAAATTATCAATGAATCTATTTAACACTTGTAAAACGTTAATGTTACTGCTATATATTAAGCACTTTGTAACTGTTTATATTTCATTGGTATTTTATGAGCGAGGGTCTAGTAAAATGTGTATTCCTTTAATAAAACTCGAAAATATTTAGGACGTTATATATAATATTTATATATAAATATTATATGAAAATGTAATGTATGGGTCTGAAAAGACCCAGCGATCGCCGTTCGGGTAAGTTTATTTATATCAGGTTATTATACAGAGTGTCTCAGCCGATTTTGACATGTATTCCTCGGTATTCTGGCACGTAGCAAAAAATGTTTCATAGGGAACTTAAATGGTATCGAGTGGAGCATGTTCTTGTGTTATTAATTTTTTCGTAGGCGGACGCATCAGGGATATATGAAGGTCAACTTTGTTTTTTTTAAATGGTAAGAGGTACTTTTTTATGCATCAAACGATGCAACTAGGCATTCTTTATAAAAAAGTAGTGACCTATGTATGTCGAGAAGTAAGTAGTTTAAGAAATATTTCAATTTGAATAATTCTGAAATTCTTACTGACATTAGCGTTTATTTACAGATATGGTTCAATATAACGACCATTTACATCACAGCATTTTTGAAATCGATGCAGTAATTAAAAATTTTAATGGGGGATTTTAGAGGCCAAAATAAGACGAAAGTCAAGAATACCAATTTGTTGATGGAGTCTTCCTTATAAAGTTATTAACAATTAAATTCAAAAATTTCAAATCGTTCTGGAAAAATTATTTTCGATTGCGGGAGCCAATTACAATCATTTTTAGTCATTACACATACCCTCGAAATCCTACGCACTTTCGAGAAAAAAATTCAGTACGCGCGGAACTTTGAACGTTAATAACTTGTTAACGAAGCCTCCATTAACAAATTGGTATTCTTGACTTTCGTCTTATTTTGGCCTCCAGAATCCCCCATTAAAATTTTTCCCAGGGGTGGCCGAACACCTTGTATAACACATTACTTCGTATCAGTCAGTGTAGTTGAGACTTTCGTGTAAATGTGGCAAAATATCAGCCGATACATTAAATAACGCAGGCCAGTCCTTACTTCATCGATTTAAAAAATGCTGTAATGCAAATAAACGCTAATGTCAGTACGAATTATAAAATCATTTAAATTGAAATATCTCCTAACTTACTTCTCGACATACATAGGCCACTACTTGATGCATAAAAAAAATACCTCATACCATTTAAAAAAAAAACAAATTTGACCTTCATATATTCTTGACGCGTCCGCCTACGATAAAATTAATAACACAAGAATATGCCCCACTCGATATCATTTAAGTTCCCAATGAAACATTTCTCGCTACGTGCCAGAATACCGAGGAAATCAAGATGTAAAAATCAGCTGAGACACCCTGTATATTTCTAGTATCCGTAGCAAAACCAAGATACGTGTAAATAAAATTAGTGACTTTAATTTCGAGATTTTTTACTATACCAAATACAGTGCACCGTAATAATTTTAAGTGAGGTCTGACTGTAACATCTTTTCACATTTGCTTTTGACTCGTTACGTCAGTCTGGGTACCATCAGCATCGAGTTACAGTTAACTTTAAGTTTCGCAGAACTTGTCGTGCCGAAACTTCCGCAAAACCACTAAACAGACGCTGGGTATAGGTCTTCTCGAGAAGAAGCATTTCCTTCGAGAGAAACACGGGAGCGAAAGGCTGGGCGGAAGTGCGTCTGTTTTCCTTTAGCTTTTTCGCCGAGTTAAAGTTGCGCAGATTTTCGCGCTAGGAGGCGCGAATTCAAAGAAAAGGATACGAGCCGAAAACAGTTTTATTATTTCGAAATTTCAAAGCAGGAATCCGATTACTCTTCGTACAGTCTTCGGGACGCGAAGTTTTATTCTTCGAAACATTGCATCGAGGAAACCTACGACCCACGTTTAACTTTGGGGCACATATAGTTTTTCAAACACTTTATCGAAATGTGGAAACAACCACTAAATTTGTGATTTATGATTCACGTTTGAAATCGTATACGATGTCTTATTTTACTAAGTGGATCGTGTGAACACTTTCGGGTCATAATGTCTCCTCCTCTGTGCTTTTTGTAATTCGGTAATGAATGTATTCTATCTATGAAGTAATTGAATTCCATATGAAACTGAAACTGCACGCATATTTCGCCCAGAGAAAACGAACAAACGCCAAAGGAAACTTTAACAATGGTGTCGACGCGTCCCTAACTCGATGACCCTCTCGACACGAATTCGCGGTCCTCGAGTGCAGCGAAATTGCATCGAGCCCGCGTCGTAAAGTACGCAATTAACGTTTCGCGCGGAATGTAGATTTCTCGCAGCTATTAAGTGGCAGTCGTTGTCTCATTACATTGTATCGACGAAACTTTTCATGAAAACATTAAATCGACACGCAGCACGGCGGGACAAACTTCCTGAACGGTGGTTAAAAAACAAATAGGGTCGTGTGCCAATAGCTGACCCAAATCTAATCATTTATGAATTATTATATACTAAATATTGTTTATTTATAAGCACAGTTCTCTACCTCGATTATAAAAATATTATATTTTCTTCTATACATAAGTTTTTACCCGTATGATAAATAAAGTATTCAATTAAGGTTGCACCGTTAAAAAAATTCTCCAAACGTTGACACAGTTTTAAGGAAAATTAACTTTAGGAAAATATGCATGATATAATTTATATGCGACCAAAGAAACGGAAAACAGCTTACAATGTTTAACGACGAAGCTCTTCGCCGGGTACAAAACATCTAGTACTCGCTTTCACGGCTTTTTCCCCCACCCTCGACTCCGCCACCTCCATTTTCACTTTTCAGTCCTCTACCATTCCTCGACCTTAAACCCTCGAGCAATTCCCGCGCTGTTTAACTATCCGACATTTATTTCCCGAACCAACGATCGAACAAACGTAGACAGAAGCGTGACAATCGTAAACTACTCGCGATCGTGTTTATTCAAAGAATTTTCTAATTACGGTTAAAAATTTCTTCGGCGAGCACGAACGAAATTCACCCACCGAAAGCGACTTTCCACTCGACGGGGAATTAATTAAACGGGAGAAAAAAATAAGGATTGAACGCGGAGGGGAACTAAACGGAACCGCAAGCAAAATATGTCAGAGGCTAATCAACGGGACACCGAATAAATCACGAGGCGAGCCGTTAAATGTCCCCGATTCCCCCGGTCCCGTCCGCGGAATAATTAATCCCCTAATCGCGAAACAGCGAGCCGCGAAGGCCGAGAGATCCCTACAGGAGGGCCGTTTAAAAAGCAATCTCGACCGCCATGAAAATTATTACGCGAAAAGCACGCGGCGCGGCCACCGTGGATACGAGCAGGGTGCATTCGGTCCAACGAACGGGCCAGAGTATAAAAATAGAGGGTGGAGAAGTTAAGGTCCTGCAGTAAGGAAAGAAGGGCCGAGGGCTGCAACGGCGAAGATTCTAAAATATGAGAGCTATTAACCGTACTTCCCTATGAGCATTACCTTCCCTCGTGTGTAAATAATGCAAGTCCTCTACACCCTTCGGTACTTCGCAGTCCCTTCAACCGTGCCAGCATACAACCCCCGTACGTACATAGGATCCGTTGGCATCCACGCGCGGGAGAGCGTGCAACTTAGGACAGCGTAGCTGCGGGCGAAACTCGGAGTTTAAACATCGAGGTGTTCGCCGAAACCATCGACCCACGGAATCGGGGCCACGGGTTCTTTGTAAAGGCACAGAAGGGAGAAAGTTTCCACGGAGAAATTAATTTCGGAACCTAATCGCCGGGGATAATTAGCTTTGAGAGTCGACGAGTATCGGGAAATTGGCGCAACTTAACGGGGGAACGGTTCCGCCACTGGGTCACTCGACGCTACTTGTTGTATCGGGTCGTGTTTAAGCTTTAAGGAAGTTGCTCCTGTAAAACGGAACGTTCGAAACGTCGTTGATCGAGCGAGTCGACTGCCGCCGGAAGCTCCGGGCTCGATTATCACCCAAAATTAACCACCGTACGCGCGACGCGATTTATATTAGATTATGATCGGTTTCGAAAGAGCGTTAACGCGTTCGCTGGCAGATGGAAAGCTTAAAATTATCCGCGAGACCAAAGCTTTGATATTGGACAGTAGGCTTGCCAAACGTTAAAGCAGAGCGGTGGTGGATTTACGGATCTATGGATCACGTTCCTTTCGCTAGCCAACTTCTCGCGGACGCACGGTGCGTATAAGACCATTTGAGAAGTTTGGTATGCGGTATAGACAGCTGGGATTTTTAAAAACTTAAATATTTTTTGCAAAATCAAAACTTTGATTTCAAACAAGCATAAGCTAAGCTTAATTCCTTCAACCTTTTGCACTACAAGGCAGCTTGCAGGCAGCTTTCTGGTGTCGATTTTGAAAATTGAAAGTGTTCTTTTTCCTCGTAAAATTTAAAAGTCCTTCATAGTTTCATTAATATAGCGTTACTATAAATTAAATTTGGACCGAGTAAGTATTATGCATGTCAGTGGAGCGCAAAGGGTTGATCTTTCAGCTTGAGAATTAATTGTTTTGGTGAAAAATTCTGTCAGCCACGTATGGAAGACGCGCTAAAGATAATGATCGATACAGTGACTTACAGATGATGAGTATAACGGAGGCGTGTTCCTTGCCGCCCTCGTATTTCCCGCTGAGGAACAGAATCCATTCCCTCGGATCCACCCTGATCCCGTACCTACGGCAGACCAAAAGAAAAAAAAGCATGTAAACACTTGGAAAGAAAAAGAACACTCCATCCGTTATTATCGCGCCCCCGTCTGTCTCTCTGCTTTATCTTCCAAGTCGTGTTAAGCGAGTGTCTACACTGCAACACGGGTCGAAGGGCAAAGGCGTCGTTATTAACGTCTGTCTTCGACGCGATGCTCTTCGCCGAGGCCCTAGAGAAAGAACGAGAACGAAGGGAAGACCAAATAAAAAGTCCACGGATCCCTTGATCCCTTTGTTCTTCGGGCAAATAATAAACGTCGCTCCCGCGTGCGCTTCTGAAATATAAAAGGAAGGCTGATGGACGCGATCTCCACCCCTCACAGTCACCGTGGAACACTTTCGCGAATAAATATTCCCCTGTCAGGTTGTCGCGAGTCGCAAATTCCGGGATCGAGCTTCTCCAAGTAAGCTGCTGAAATTTCCTCGTCGTCGCTAGCTGACCGTTATCGAGATCCTCTTCTTGGTCTCGACTTTCATCCCTTCTAGATCACTAGAAGGAATTGCGAATTGTATTGGATCGGACGCTTAAGTCAGCCTCCGAAGACTCGCAACTAATCAAAAATGTCTCGACGCTCTTCGCGGTGCCCTTAAGACAGAATCTGATACGAAAGCCTCACCAATGTTTGACACTATATTATAATCTACGTAAAAATTATTAGGTGTAAGTTCTTCCGTTTTTTTTAACAAATCGAAAATGATTATTCTTACCTATCGGTTAAAATTTATTCTAAAATACAATTCTCTTCGTTAATGGAAATTGTCATAGCTTATCCGCTTCCTCGACGGAAAAACCCTTTTTGACATGAAAAATATTTCTACTGTCATTTTGATATCTTCAAAGCTTACGATTTAATTAAGGAAAGAAATACATAAATTTTTAATTAGAGACATAATATCCTTTAAAATGGCATCACAAATTGCATTCAAGCAGCCAGTTACTTCAATTGAAATGAATTCTTGGAGTGCACCTATTGTGCGTCCGCGAGAAATTGACTAGTGAAAGAAATGCGGGTCTGATTGGTCGTGCCTAGAAAGTGGGGATGGCCGGAGCATGCGCAGTACTCCCCCGTCCCCTGTGTCACTCCACTAGCCAACTTCTCACCGGATACACAGTACCTACAACTGAGAATGCATACAAAAGTTTGTAAATACTCGTAATAACGATGAATTTTTTCTTTCATCGGGTGATCCTTTAATATGATATTACGCGCCTAACAATTTTCAAGGCAAATGTTAACAAATATCAGATCCCAACGACCCCAAGAGTCACCAGGAAGCAAGTGACGGCCATGACCGGTTGAATTTACGTTTAAAGAGAAACGATACGGCGCTTCGATCTCGCGACAGATTTTAGTGGTCCGATACCCGGGGGATTTATCGCGTGCCATCGTATCAATCCGAGTCATCGGGAACGTATGTTGCACACGGTCGCCGTCCGCGGGGACAAACGAAGTACAATTCGGGTCCCGCGATGCGAAGAAAAAGGGCGGGAAACCGACACTAATGGCTTCGGGTCGAACGCGTCGGCTAACGATGATAAACGAGGCTTATAGGTGAAGTAATTAAAGTATTTGAAGTGGGCGCGATTCGGCGCGAACGTAGGATATTTATTGGGACGCGATCGTCGGCCCGTTTCGACTAATCTTTTTTTTTTCTCTCCTCCTCGCCCCTGTCGACACAAACGCAATCAGTCACGTTGACGCAGTCCGCGATAATTGAAGAGCGAGCCCGGAAAAATCAAACGTTTATAATTGATAGCTACTGTGCACACTCCTATGCGGTAGCAAGCCAAAAGCGATTCGAAAGGGAACAGCAATTCCCTTGTATTACTGGACGGTAAATCACCAACGCGCTCGCGTTGTCGACGCGTAATATCTTTTGTGCAGTTTCGCCGATTGAATTGTTAAACACTTTCGAAAGTCGACGCGACACCGTCTGTCTGGGATTCGCGCGAGTTTACTCTTTCGGGTCATAATAGGCTAACGAACAAGCGTCTCGTCTTTTTAATACCCTGATATGCGAGATAAAACTAAGACAACCTGAAACACAGAGGTTCATGCCAAATAAATTACGTAAATTAGTAATACAAATAATCTTACTTTTTTACAGGGTGTTTGGTCACTCGCAGGAAAAATTTTAATGGGAGATTCTAGAGGCCAAAATAAGACGAAAATCAAGAATATCAATTTATTTTTTAACATTCGTTAAAATGTTATTAAAAAATTTCAAATCATTTACGGAAAAATTATTTTTGATTGCAGAGGTCAATTACAATCATTTTTGGTGAAGACACATACCCCCGAAATCCTACTCACTTTCGAGAAAGAAATTCATTACTGAAAATATAATGTCTGACCATAACTGTCTGGTTACCCTGAAAAAAAAATTTCAAATCGTTCTAAAAAAATTATTTTCAATTGCAGGAGTCAATTACAATTATTTTTGGTCATTAGACATGCCCCCGAATTCCTACGCACTTTCGAGAAAAAAATTCCTCACCGAAAATATAATATGTCTGACCATACATTGATTAATTCCCCTGAAATTTAATTCGTATGTTTAAAACATCATAACTCCTGTACGGATTGGACGATTGTAATGTTTCAAAAGGCAAACAACGCGTATTTTGGCGTAGAATATGTAGAAATTCCAAAAATATTTGGAAAGTTGCTCCGTAACCACGTAAAGTGAGAAGAACCCCATTAAAATGGTCCAATTTTCAAACAGCCATAACTCCTACAATAGTGAATATATTTCAATGAAACTTTTTTCTGAAGTAGAGCTCATTTGTACCTACAAAAAAATATTAGACAACTTTTATGTAGGGCGTCAAACAAAATTATTAAAAATCAGAAACGAATTTTTAAAAAAAATCGACAGCTGCTGAAATTTTTCGGTGAAAAAAAAATTTCAAATCGTTCAAAAAAAATTATTTTCAGTTGCAAGTGTCAATTACAATCATTTTTGGTGAAGACACATACCTTCGAAATCCTACGTACTTTCGAGAGAAAAATTCTTTACCGAAAATATACTGTGTGGCCGGACATGTTTCTATAACTTTTTAACGAAGTCTCAATCAACAAATTAATATCCTTGATTTTCGTCTTATTTTGGAATCTCCCACTAAAATTTTTTCCAGGGTGGCCGAACACCCGGTATATACGTCGGAGAAATATCTTTATTGGAAATTATTCGTGAACTATTAAGAATGATATTTCTTTCGGGTCCTCTCGGGCGACCAATTCTTTAATAATTAATTTAATATTTTCAACTGATTGAAATAAACTTTATTTAAAAGAAAGAATTATCAACGAAAACTAATGAGTATACGGTATATATTTTGTTGGAACAAAATTTCTGTGCATCTAGAAATTTTGTCCACAAATAGCGTCAGATCGTACGGTTGTTTGCAAGAGTTTAAGTATCCTCAGACCCCCATTGCGTTTGTTTCTAGCCTTCGTAACAAGTCTACGCACCGAATGCAGTCTAGCTTAACGTGGCAGCAGATCCATTTGCCATCACCAGAAGTGGGTCATTACGAAACCTGTTTGCTACGCTGCTCCTTAATCATGCGCCAGCTGCTGAAGACCGTGGGGAATACAGCAAATACCGAGTAATTCGGCTACTTTATCAGGAAATCGTTGAATCCTCGGCTACAAAGGATCGAACGCCCTCGGATTCCGAGTTCCAACAAATCCAATCACGGAAGTCTCCTTACAGGTGGATCGTATTTTCGAAAGCGGGTTTGTAAACAAAGGTTCGAGCGTATTTCAGAAGCTGTGGCCACCCGGTTTTCCTGGGAATGTTTACGAGATCTATGGAAAACACGGTGACTCTTGTGTGTTTATTCCAGATAAGCCTGATAGAGCACGAAACGACGAGGACTCGAGGAGATTTCGCGTCCATCGAAACTCGTCGGTCCAAGGCGCGAGTGGAAACGATATTAAATTTCTTTCCTCGGACGAGAATGGTTGCTTTGATCCGAGCACACCCGTTAAATCCGCGCCCGTTCTTCGTTCTGCGAAGTTCGTTAATACAGCAGTCACGATAAAATCCCCAATTCCAGAACGAAAAGAAAAACGGAGATGGATAGAAGGCGAACGATAAAGGGGTGTCGTTCCCTGGCGAAAGAGAGACGAAAGAAAGACGCGGCTAGAGCTTGAAAACTCCAGATTGAAAGAGTTATGAGCGCCAATATGGAACCGTCCGGTATAAAAACCGCGAAAGGTTTGCGTTAAATATTAATAAGCGACGACGGAAGCGTTTATCTTATTCCACCGGCGACTGAACAGCTTCGCGTTGTTGCGTTTATCATGTAATCCGCTCCTTCGATAACCGTCTGCCATTTTTCTTCGTTCGAAAAGATTTTACATTCCCGTTGAAATATCGAAGAATCGTTTTAAATTAATTTGCAAAATAAAAGTTTACGGACAGGCATTATTTGATAATATCGATAGCTCGTATATAGAGATTATCATACTGAATTTTGAAATAGTCGAGTGTCTAAAAATTAATTCGCTTCGCAGTACTGTAAAGTCGTCAATGGGTAAAAGTCGACAATAAAGCATTGCCTCAGGATGTTGTTGAAGCTCTTCGATGTATGAGAATCTCAATATGGATACTTCGTTCGAGCATCGATGGATTCACGGCAAAATAATAACGAAAGTTCGAACAATATGGTATGGAAAATCTCTTTGAAGGCTATAAATGGCAAAGCTCTTACTATAGAATCGACAGCTTTCATTACCATGTGCGACTTCGAAGAAGGGCACATCATCTTTATTAAACATTGAACATTCGAAATCTTTCCTTAAATAATTTATTTAACGAATACAAAATTTAATAGCGATACAAGTAAGCCTATTTGCTCTACGAGTATCCAATAAATAATTCGAAAAGTATTTGCAGAAAATATTTATCTTTCGTTCAGTTCGACGTTTTTGAAAAATTTACTCGTTTGTGCATCTT